ATCCTACAAGAGAGCATTATAGGCACAATAGGAGCACAGAGATAATGGAGATAAATTGCAACAAGAAATATTGTGGATGGCATCATGGAAGAGGTGGCATTTGAGCTGGTCTTGAAAGATGAGTGGATTGTGGAGTACATGAGGAAGGCAAAGGCATTACCGGCAATAACAGACTCAGGAATGCTCAGCATGTCAGAGGAAGGGCAAATGTGTGACGAAGGCAGGAAGAGGCGCCTGGAAAGATCCTACTAAAAAGACAACAGGGAGCCAAATCCATGGCACTGGAAGCCATGCTATGGAATTCATTTTGTAGTGATGGGTAGCCAGCAAATTATTTGAGCAAGGTTGTAGCATAGTCAGATCTGTATTTTAGGAAGCCTAGTTTGACTGCCATGAGCAGGATGGATAGGTGAAACGAGATGTCAAATGTAGCAAGCTATTCTATTAATCTACTCAGAATGTAAACTTCACAAAATTCCAAAACTGAGTTGAGAGGGCTTATGACCACCACTCCAACAACCATTTTCTCTTCTTTATTCGTTTATAAAATCTTAATTTTGCTCAGGCAGCAAAATGCACAAAGAAGTTGGGCCTTTCACCTTACCACAGGAGTTGAATTATTATCAGTCCATAAAATTCACTGCCCTTTGCTAGTGACTTTTTCAATAGGCACAGAAAAGGCATTTGACAAAATTCCATGTACGTGCATGATAACTTTTAGAGGTGATGGATATGTTTATTACCTTGACTCTGGTTTCACAGGTATACACATGTGTTCAAACTCATGAAATTGTATGCGTTAAACGTGCAGTTTTTTGTATATCAATTATATCTCAATAAAGCTGTTTTTTAAAAAAAACTATCATCAAAGCTGGAATAGAAAGGAGTTTCCTCCATCTGATAAAATGCATTAACAAAAAACGTGCAACTAACGCTTTTCCTAATGGTGAATATTGAACACTTTCACCCTAAGAGTGGGAGCAAGGCAAGGATGTCTACTCTCACCACTTTTACTAAACATTGTCCTTAAGGTCCTAGTCATGCAGTAAGAAAGAAAAATAAATAAAAGGCATAAAGTTCAGAACTGTCTTTATTTGCAGTCCACAAGACTATATGCATAAAATATTTTGGAAAAATCTACTAATTAACTAGTAGAACTAATAAATGATTTAGTAAAGTGACAGGATACAAGATGAGTATACAAAAATCAATTGTATTTCTATATTTTGGCAATAACCATTTGGAAAATAGTCTTAAAAATACCATTTAAAGTATATACCCAAAAGAATTAAAAGCAGGGATTTGAAAAGATATTTGCTCACCCATGTTCATAGCACCATGATTCACAATAGCCAAAAAGTGGAAGCAATCCAAGTATTCATTGATGGATGAATAGATAAACAAAATATGGTATATACATAGAATATTATCCAGCCTTAAAAAAGGATGGAAATTCTCACACATGTTACAACATGGATGAACCTTGAAGACATTATGCTAAGTGAAATAAGCCAGTCACAAAAGGACAAATACTGCATGATTCCACTTATACAAGGTACCTAGAGCAGGAAAATTCATAGAGACATAAAGTAGGATGGTGGCTGCCAGGAGCTGGGGGAGAAGGGAATAGGGAATTATTTTTTTAATGGGTACAGAGTTTCAGTTTGGGCAGAAGAAGAGAGTTCTGGAGGTGTATGGTAGTGATGGTTGCATAACAGTAAGAATGTACTTAATACCAGTGAACTGTACACTTAAAAATGATTAAAATGGTAAAATTGTATATTATGTATATTTTACCATAATAAAAAAAGAAAAATACATTCATAGTAGCACTAAAAGTATCTATAAAATACTTAGGAATAAATTCAACAAAAGACATGCAAGTCCTATACACCAAAACCCACGAAACATTGCTGAGAGAAATTAAGGACCTAAGCAAACAGAGAAAAAAAAACAATGTTGGAGACTCACCCTGCCTGATTTCAAGATTTATTATAATGGCACAGTAATCAAGACAGTGTGGTATTGGTGAAGGATAAATAGATTAGTGGAATAGATTAGAGAGTCCAGAAATAGACCACACATTTCTCATCAATTGATTTTGGGCAAAAGAGCTAAGGCAATTCAAGTGGGGGAGGGAAAATCTTTTTAATAAAATGTGATGGTACAACTGGTATATGGAAAAAAATTAATATGAGATGAATTATAAACCTAAATGCAAAAGCTGAAACTATAAAGCTTCTGGGAGGTCACATATGGTCTGGGGTGTGGCCCAAGAATTTGCATTTCAAACAAGTTTCCCAGGTGATGTGCATGCTGCTGGTCCAGGGACCACATTTTGCATTATTTTTTAACAGCAAGGTGCAAGAGAAAAAATACAAGTGCTAGCATTTTTTTTTCCACTCAAATCTTCCCCTTGAATAATTAGAAAGTAAAATAATAACTCCTTAGGAATAAATTGAAACTATTAATAATTTAGAATTAAGTAGAAATGCTAGAAGCTATGAAGAAACATCTTTTTCGACTATGTTGAATTGAGGACTAGGAAACCACAGTTTTTTGAGAAGCCTTACTGGGATACTGCACGCTAAGAGAAATTCACTGCGTCAACAACATGACTTAATCCAAAGAGAAATAATCATACAAATAATACGTACTCTTGCTTATGTGCCCAACATGACGATAAGATATTCAAATAGAATTCAACCTGGTGGCCTGTTCTTGCTAGATTGTGCTTCATGATGGACTATCACTGCCACTTCCCTTCGGTGTGAAGACTCTCCCATTCTTCTTCTGGGATTTGCTTGCCACTACAATCACTCTCTGTGTCATGCTCCCTTTTGCTGTCGTCTTTTAAGTTTTAGCCCTGCACTTTGCAGTTAGTGCATACTCCTTAGAGCAGTAAACAAGCTTCAGACAAATAGGAATTTTAGAGCTTTATAAAGATGATGTAAGCTTTTAATGTAAGCTTTAATTTATCAAAATTAATTGTTATTAACAATTTATTAAAACCTTAAAGATGATTATCTTACAGAGAGTGTAAGGGTTAAGAGCATGGGCTATGGAGTCAGGCAGCCCTGAGTTCAAATCCTGCTCTACCACTTAACCAGGAAGGATTTCCAGAGCAGTCTCTTCGACCACTTAAGGTCTCAAGTTTCTCATGTGGAAGATGAGCTCTTTTGAAGATTAAGTGGAACAGTGTGTAGCAATTACTCAGCCCATTGCCTGAGCCCATCATGTGTAACTATTGTAGGTGTAACTGGGATAACATCTAAAACCATATAAACATGCATTTCTCCTTTGTATTTTCATGTGAAGCATCTCCTTAGCAGGTATAAAGCATTTCTCTGGGGAAGAGGGTAGACAGAGAGTATGGAGAAGAAAGGAGAGGAAAGACAATTAGGAGAGTTATTGTAGAAACATAAAGAAAAAGAGTTATTCTTCAGATTCTGGCAGCCAAAAGAGAATGTTGTTGAGCACACACTCAGAGAGAGAGAGAAGAAATCTGAAGTGCTGAGCATTTTATCTGAGGGACTGAGTATTTACCTAAAGGGGCCAAGGGGTAGATTGTCAAACTGGCTGCTGCCATTCCCCTCTTTATATTCATGCCCTTTGCCCCGTGACTTTGCAGCTCCTCCCATCCAGTGAATGTTCCAGCAGACTAAACAGCAAGTGCAAAGACCCTAAGGCAAGAAGGGGCTTGACTGTGTTCAAGAAACACAGAGAAGGCCAGTGTGGCTGGAGAGCAGCGAGAGGGACTGCAGAGTGACAGAAGATGAAAGCAGAGAGAAGACAGCACCAGATCGCATACAGCCTGTGAGACTAAGAAATTCGTCGCAACAGTAGAAGGATCAAAACCTAAACCATTGTGTCCTGCTTGTACCCAAGTACAGGAGGACCTATTTTGTTACGATATTAAAATGCTCTCCTCCCAGTTGGTAAAAAGCCACTGTGCTTATCCCCTTAAGCATCCCCTGAGTCCTGGCCAGCCAGGCCTCTCCTCCAGGACCATAAATGATGCTGTAATTTAAGAATTCAGGGTATTAAAGCTTCTAACACCAACCTAGTGCCATGACTGTAGATGTGCAATGTTATCCCTAGGCAAAAGGAAGAGCATTTCTATATCTTTATAAAGTTCAGAATAAGCAAGAATGTACTCAATTAATAAATACATATTAAGTTCCAACTATGGGCCAGGAGGTATTGTAGGTGTCAGGGATGAACAAGAGTAAACAAACCAGTTTCCGCCTTCACAAAGCTCAGAGGTCAGCATTCTGGCAAATTACTGCCTGCAGGTAGCAATTTTTAGGCAGTGGTTCTCAACCTAAACTGCACAACAGAATCTTCTGAGAGCTTTAAAAAAGACTGATGCCTAGGTCCCACCCCCAGAGGGTCTGACTTAATGGCTCTGAATTGTGGCCAGAGCATTGGAAATTTCTAAAAGCTCCCCAACTGATTCAATGTCTGCCAGGGCTGAGAACCTCTCTCTTAGAGAGGATAACAGATAACGTGGATAACAGAGAGTGGGATTTTGACATTTTAGTAAAATTTATAGATATAAAACTAGAGACTTGTCTTCGCTGCATGTTAACTAATAAAGATAAATCAAGATGGAAACACAATTCCTTAAAAGTTATTTTCCAGAAGATTCTGGAGCCTGTCTTTATAGAAAGGCATTCTGTCAAAATGCTGGCTGGCAGTCTGACCCAAAGTTAGGCAGTTCAACTACTCGTTTCTGCTAATACATAGCAAAACTCTGGGCTTTTTTAATAGAATTCCTCAGGAGAAGGACTTCTAAATGTGAACACTCCTACAACTCTTCCCTTTCCCCCCGCCTAGGACCTGTCTATTTTCAAACTGCACGTCCCACTCAGAGCTGGCTGTTAGCCTGAGAAATGGGCATATGCTCCGATCTTGAGGCCACAGCTAAGGATTCCCACCTTGGGGGACAAGAACCAAGACTCAGTGTGTTGAGATTGTTTTTCACTTGGATTTCTTACCTCTCTACTTGCTTCCAGTTGCTTCTCTCAGCAACTTCCCTCATCAAGTGACAAATGTTTAGGATGAAACAGGATCAGAAACACCTCAAAAAGTTTTGACCCGATGAAGAGTCCAGGCACACTGATGAAAGAGAAACATGCATCAAGCACTGGGTTGCAGTATAAGGACTTTCTAGATTCAGTGGGTCACAGAGAAGCAGTCAAGCACATTCTAGGGCAATGAATGTGCTGAGCACTAGTTCCTGATTATTCCGTCCTAATGAAGGGGAGCGATGATGTGGGTTTTCCAAAACAGCTGCTGATTTTAATGAGCAGCTTGGTTTTGACTCTGGAAATCATTACTAGGTAAATGAAAAGGTAGCCAGCATGTCTGAGCATATTTCAGCTGGGCAGTGCAGAGTGTGGCCAAGAATGCTAGAAAGAAAGTGGCTTAGGATTTTGAAACTCACCAGAGAAAACCCACAAAATGAAAACATCTCAGTGGAAATAACAGAGCCCTGAATTGTGATTTAGAAGGCAAGAATCTTTGTCTCTGTTCTATCGTGACCAGGTGTGTGATCCTAGGTAAGTAACTTCTTTGTGCCTCAGTCTCCTCATTTTTAAAATGAAGGCACTGGGGCCAGCCCATGGCCGAGTGGTTAAGTTCGCATGCTCTGCTTTGGTGGCCCAGGGTTTCGCCGGTTCAGATCCTCGGCACAGACATGGCACCGCACATCAGGCCATGCTGAGGAGGCATCCCACACGGCACAACCAGAAGGACCTACAACTAGAATATACAAGTAGGTACTGAGGCGCTTTGGGGAGAAGAAGAAAGAAGAAAGGAGGAGGAGAATAAAAAAAAAAAAAGATAGGCAACAGATGTTAGCTCAGGTGACAATCTTAAAAAAAAAAATGAGGGCATTGGACTTAAATGATCTCCAATAGGATGGATGGGTAAAATGGAATTTAATACCTGTGTGTGAGGGAAGGAGAAAATATTGATATGTGGAGCCTGAAGATTGCTGGAAGGGAGTAGAGAAATTTGCATTTGGAGCCCAAGACACTCCTAAGGAATGAGGGTGGGAAGGGATCAAGACCCCCAAATTCTGTCTTGGAAGTTAAAATTAGTCCAGATGCCCTGGGGGCTGGCCTAAGCAAGGCTAGGAGTCAGGAAACGGCCACAAGACCCGTCAGATAAACTCGCCACCAAGGAGAAAAGATAGGACCACCAGCCTGAACTCTGCACAGACTTAGGAGTTCAAAAGGAGGCTGTAAATCAGTGCAGACTGGGACTGGACCCAAACCAGGACAGAGGTCGCAGGCTGCATCCTGGAGAATTGGCTGTGTGAGTGATCACAAGGAACTATAATGATGGGAGTCCGGGCCAGGTTTGCCTGGAGCCCACTCCTGGCTGAACTTACTCCTGAGGACTGGAGAGCCTCTTTTTCACCCCTTAAAGAAGAACGGTGGCCCAAGCAAGGGTCTACACTAGCAGCTTCTTCTGGAGCCACCAGCTTCTTGTGGGGCAGAGTCTACTGGCCCTGAGGGAGCACATCTGAGATGAGACTTCAGAAACTGCAGTGGAAGTGACCAGGTTGGCCCTGGGCATGTCAGGCAAGCCCGGTATTTCCTATTACCTTTGGGACTGTCAACTTTGGGACTCCATCTGAGTGGTGCCTTATTTGCATCCCAAACTATAAACTGAGGCACTCCAGTCACAGATCTATAAGATCACTTATATTCTAATACGTTGTGATTTTAGTGTATGATTCGAAACCAAACCCAAAGACTGACTTTAATTCAGAGTTTAGCACAAAACTATATCCTTAAGTTTATAGACACTGGGACTCTTGTCTAAAAAGAAGGAGAAATGTGTAAGCTAGGGATCCATCTGTGACCATTAAATAGCCTAAAATTAACACAGAAGGCGTATCACTGCTAACGATCCATGAATTCACTCCATATGCATTCATTAGAGATCATTAAAGTGAGAGCTGCGAATGCAAAAGATAATTATATAGTTTGGATATCTAAAAGTTTTTTCTTGTAGAGAGCAGATTTGTATGGATGTGTAAAATATAAGCATTTTGCTCTGAAATTGAAACTGAAACACAAGCTTATGATTGTTACATTAATTTCCTTTTTAAAAGGGCCTTAGACAAGAACCATCAGCATTGTAAATGTGATGTTTGACCCAGCAGTTTTACTTGTAGAAATTTATCCTGATGAAATTCTGCACATGTATACAAAAGTATACAAGAATGTTCATTGTCACAACAAGGACAGCAGGGAAAAAACTGGAAAGAATTGAAATGTTCATTAATAAAGGATTAGTTAAATAAACTATCAGTCATCCATATGCTGGAATATTCTGCCATTACTAAAAAGAGTCAAACATACCTTTATAACAGAGAAATAATTTTATATTAGCTGATGTGTCAGTTACAGTTTGTTTGTTTACCCCCATCCATTTCCTGCTTTATACCAAACCTGTACCAAGGCTGAGGCTTTCATTGTGTCGTGGAGGAACGGTTACAAAGAGCACTGATGACAAAAAGGTAATTCTTAGCACTTAGCACCAAAGACAAGAGACCAAAGAAAGGTATTCTCACCATCCAACTGGCATGCTTTTGAGAATGAAAGGGAATGCTGTAAATAACGGACTGAAAAACATAGAAATACCTGAACTGTTCTGAGGAAACAGGGACACCCTGCCTATGGACCTTTCCCTTCAGGTTAACTCGTTTTCTTATAAACCAAAGATAAATGTCATCTTTTAGCAGATAAGCTTCCTGCTTTCATGGAGCTTTAGACAAAGGGAGATGGAAAATAATAAAGTAAATAAAATAACGAGCCAGATAATTGGAGACTAATAAAGCTTTGAAGAAAATTTAAAACCTGGGTAGAGTGATGCAATGTAGAGAGGTGGAGTGGTCAGGAAGGCCCACTTAAGGAGAAGACATTGGCTGGAGACTTTAACGTCCAGACAGGGTTGGGCATGCCAAGATGTGGTAACAGAATGCTCCCGACAGATGACTGACAAGAGCAAAGGCCCCCAGGCCTCTGCTGTGTTGAAAGAATAGACTCTGTAAAAAGGGAAATCCATTGGAGGGGTTAAAGCAAGGCGATGACATGATGTGATTCACAGTTTACGGAAAAGAATGAGACGGGAGACTGTGGGGCCAAAAACAACTGGGAGAGGAGGATGGATGGTGTGTCTGGGAGAGAAAATTAGTGAAAGCAGGAAAAGGGAAGTGAGATACTGGAAAGAACCATCCTGTGCCTGCTCCAGACTAGAGGGGACATAGGTGGTGCTGAGAACAGGCAGTGCCATGACTGGCTCACTTGACAGGCGAAGGAGTTTTCCTAAAACTCCAGAGAGATCAGAGGCAGATGGCAAGAAGACGTGAAGTTGGAGAAGTGTAGTCTAGTCAAGAAAAGGTTAATGTAGAATTGACTTTTAAACATATTCACTATGATTACAATTTGTCTCAGGCTAACTCACTGGGCATTGAACTGACTTGAAACTCGAAGCAGAAGAGGTTATTTGGGTTGTTGGGTGTTTCCTGTGTGCAGAAATGCTCCGCAGTGATGAATATTCTGCAGTTCCATCTTTTCTGGACTCTGTTGTGTTCCATTGATCTATGTGTCTCTCATTTTGCCAAGAATGCACTATTTTGATTTACAAAGACTTTATAAATACTTAGTTTTAGAACAAGTCTTAAAATCAGACAGTCTGAGTCCTTTAACTTTGTTCTGTTTCAAAATTGTTTTGCCTATTACACAATTCCACATTTCAAGATTTTATTTCAATATTTTGTGGAAATTTTTCATATTTTTAAAATATAGCTGGTATATTTACTTTTATCTGGAAAAAAAGAAAATAAAAGAAGAGTTGCCAGTAAGGGATACTTTGGGCTACAAGCAACAGAATCCTTCACTTCAGTGCCTTAAAAGAAGAAAAGTTTATTTCTCCCCACATAAGAGAAAGTCTGAAGATAGGTGTCTGCTAGCATTGGTTCAGTGGCTCAGCAATGTCATGGCCAAGATCTCTGTGGGTCTCTTGACCTCTTCCTCAGGGTCACAAAATGGCAGCCGCAGCTGATGCCATCTTGTCCATTCAAGGTAAATGGTAACTTATGTCTCCTTGTCCAGAATTGTGTCAGATGGCCTCCTTTGGCTTCAAGAGAGATTGTGAACAGAGTATTTTTGTTTTTCAGCCTATATAATAGACTAGGCCAGAAAGAACGGGTTTTATATGAGAGCTGGGAGTGCCAACCTATAGTGTCTACCACAAAGGTTGAGGAGAGATTCCCCCCCCAAAAAAAGTTTTTCTTTGAAATCTGCCCCACTGAAAAAATCAGCTGAGGGACCAGTGATAAGGAATATATCTTACACCACATAATTTTCCTTCTCAATGTTGGATGGGAGCCATCTCAGAGCCTCCTGATTCTGCCTCTCCCCAGCATAGGAGTTAACTCTCCCCCAGCATTCTCCAGCACTCACACAGTCCTTGAGAGTCAGAGGGACCAGCTAGAAAAACAAACCTAGTCTACTGCTAAAGGACAAGAGTGACATTCTGACCAGGCTACAGCATAGCTCTCTTTTAATAAACTTTCAAGGAAAGAACGTTGGAATTCAATGCATGGCCATGAATTGCCCATTTCATTCCCTGAATGGGGAAAGCTGGGCATTGCTTCTTTTCTCTCATTCAATAAACATTTACAGGGCTCTTATGTGCCAGGCACTGGGTGTTTTTATTCCTCTTCCCTTTATTATTGTTCCCTGCCCTGTTTTCTTAGATTATTTTTCTCTCTAAGTGTATATGGGGATGTGTGTGTGTGTAAATGCATACAAAAATATGTCAAACCTGCAGAGCGCAGGGCACCATGACTCCAGCTCTCTCTGGTCTCCCTGAGAGGGTCATTAAGAAGACTCCTCACACCCCTTTGAGAAGGGAGGCCTGGGAAGGGGTGGAAGAATCAGGATGCAAGAGATTATCTGTCAAGAACGCTGCTTCTTACAACATGCATGCATTATTTATTCAATAAATATTTATTGGGTCCATTTGCTAGATTCTGGAAATATTGTGGTAAACATATAGACATGATCTCTGCCCTCACTGAGCTTGTATTTGTTGTG